TTGTGATTTTAGGTTTGTTTTTGTTTTGTTTTTGAATTTGGGGGGTTGCGGATTGATGGGGGTAGGGAGATTTTTTTTTTTTTTAAGCTGCTTCCTCAACTGTTTCAAGCTGCAAATGTTTAAGAGAATAACATCCCCTCACCCCCACAGAAACCACTGTAGTTAAATCAGACAGTGGGGAGACTGGGCTGCTGCCCCCAAAGCCATCCGCTGTTCCTTTTCCAAGAGCAAAAGGTCTGGGCTACAGGGAGGGGGAGATTGGCTTCTGTGAGTCAGACTCTGGTTGGGGCTTGGGCCCTGGGACTGGGAAAAGGGGGTGGGGCAGACTTTGTAAGCATATGCTAGGTATCCGATAGTCCTGTAGAACTTAGTGAAGAAACCTTATACAGTTTTTAATTTTTATATAAACTAACTCAGACCCAAGCTACAAGGTTGGAATTTTGGTTGTTGGTTTTTTTTAAGTACCCCGCCTGTATAATTGCATCAGAATTCCCTCCTCTCCTCTTCCCCCCCGTGTTTGTATTTTGGGTTGGTTTACACTTGCACATATTCAATTTTCAGTTTTTCCCCTTTACGGTCTTCTCCCCTCACCTCCAGGATCCTCCCCCTTTTTAAAAAAATAAATCGCTGACAAGTGTGAATCCCGTGAAGACTTTATTTTGTGTTGTGTGTATCCTGTACAGCAAGGTTGGTCCTTCGTAACAACGGATGAAATGATTCCCTTTTTTAAAGCGCCCTCTCCCTCCACCCCCAGCGCCCCTGTCCTTGGCATGTTTTGTATCAGCGATCATTCTGAACTGTACATAATTTATGTTGCAAGAGGCAAAGGGCAAGTTTTGGATTTTGCTTCTTCCAAGTTTGTTTTTAAACGACAAATAAAAAAACAACATTTTAAATACAAGCGGCTCCGTCCCGTCACCGTCGCCGTCAGCGGGATCCTTGAGGGCCCGAGACGACCCAAGGGAGGGCGGTTACCGAGGCCAGGCTGCGCGGGAAGGGTGAACTCCCCGCCTTCCGCCCTTGGCTTGCGTCTGCCTTGACGTAGGCGGAAGTGAGTCGCGGTACCGGAAGTGGGGTAGGCCCTCCCACTCCCCGCCCCGCCAGCGAGCTTCCTAAAGCGAGCGAACCAAGCCGGCGCTTCTAGCAATGGAGACGGTGAGGAGGGCGGCGGGGGGCGCTGTGGAGCCCGAGACCCTTGTTAGGGGCCGGGGAAGCCTGGGTAGGGGCCGGCGCTGGTGCTCAGTAAATGAGACGGGTGTCTGTCCTATGTCGTGACCCTGCCCCTCTGCTCCTTCGCTGGGCGCATCTCCTAGGACTGGGCCAGGCCCGCGCCTGCCTTCCGTCCTCCGCACTGTTAGCCCGGGCAGGCAGTGACTTCTAGCTCCTCCGGAACCCACGCACACCCTGGCGATCTCGGGCCGCCTTTCCTCTTAGCGCCTCAAGCCCGTCAGAGGTTGCCTGAGAGAGCAGGGTTGTAATCCATCTTTCCTGGATGAGGCAGGGGGCTTCCGAGGGACCCCGTCTTGCACGTAGCACCTGGTCCCCGGTTGTCTGATTGTGATCCCTACAATCCCTGTCAGGAGGGACATCTAAAAGACTTTTATACGGCATTGAGGTGTCCAGCGAGGTCATATACCCTTAATAAGACTGAAAAGTGAGGTTTCCCTAAAGGAGGGAATCTTTCAGTGTTCGAGGCCGCTGTGTCCCTGGAGAAGTTTAGGTCATGCCGCGCTCTGCGATTCTAAGCAGGCACGTTGGCATAGCTCATTCTTGGCGAGCAGGCATTGCCCGATTGTGGCAGGTCTCTGTCATCCTCCCAGAGATGCTGCAAGTTGCCTGCTACATGTTTGGATCCACCTCACTCTCAGGAGCCATTTCCTAGCACTCTGGAACCCTTCCCATTCACTTCCCTCTCCAACAGTTTTTAACCATGTAGCCTTTGTGAGCCAGCGTAACTCTTCCTATCTTGATTTTTATCATCTGCTACTGTAGTTGTGTAAGGGCTGCAGGTTCACCTATCTTTGGATCAGTTACATGCCCAAAGTAATTCCTTTACCGTACCCTTTCTCTGCCTGCAGAGAGGTCTCGTCTCTCAGGTTGTAAAGAAGACAACAGACCACAGTGGTAAAGTGATTTGCAATTGGCCACCCAGGCAAGGGAGTCAGTTCTTACAGATTAAGAGAATTTTGAAGAAGAATAAAAGGTCTGATTCCTTTAAATTCAAAATAACATATTAATTTTTACTTCCTTATAAATGTATTATAGTTTACAAAGAATTTTTATATAGATTTTCTAATTAGTCTTCATACTTTATGTACTGAATTAGGTTCTTGGGAAAGAAATTGTTTTAAAAAGAATAAAAAAGAAAACCTCTGCTTTGAAAATGCTCAGCCTAACTGGAGTGGGGGTGAGGGTATGCCAGTGACAGCTGTTATTTAAGTTAGACTGTAATAAATGCTGTCATCAAGATGCAAATAAAGGAAGCATGGGGGAGGGAGAAATTATTGTGAACCTGGGCGAGGGCATTGCAGGTTGAGAGAATAGTGTGAGCAAGGGCATAGAAATTGGGGTATGTAGAGGATAATTGGGGGTGAGCCAGTGGCTTGATGTTGCTGGAGCTTTGGATTTTGGTCATAGTGGGAGAAAATATTGGAAAAGTAGGCTGAGGTCAGGTTGAAGGTATTGCATACCACACTAAGTTTGAACTTTGTTTTGTAATAAGGGGACCCGTGGAAGATTTATCAGCGAGGTCGTGAGTGTGCTTTAGGAATGTTCTTAACAGCTTTTTGTAAATGGACAGAGCTACTTCAGAAAGTAGTGAGTTCTTGGTTGCTGGAGATAAAAGTCTCTTCCAAACCTGAGAAGCTTGGTGAGAGAACTTGGTGACAGCATGAAAGACGAATTGAAGAGGAGACAGATTTAGGGCGGGGAGACCAGTTTAGAGAATGTTGCGGAAGTGAGAGGAAAAAGCCTAAGTTAAAGCTGTGAAAGTGGAAGGGAGAGAGACAGATCTGAGGCATTTCTAACATATCAGCTTTGCTGATAGATGTTAAGGACAAGTTTAGGTCATGCCCTGCTCTGCAATTCTAAGCAGACAAGTTGGCATAGTCCATTCTTGCAGGAATCAAGACTACAGTTCTAGGCCCCTGGGAAGACAGCAATGCAAAAAACAAAGATGGGAACCACAGTGAGAATAATAGGATTGGAGGGACAGATGCTGTTCTATTTTGTATTGGAGCATTTGAGGAGTCTCTGTAACATCTGTGGTTGTCTAGCAAACAATTGGAAATATGGATCAGGAAATTGGAAGCAATTTTGGGTCTGTGTGTCAGATCTAGCTTATGTCTCTGTAATAATATTTTGTATTTAGGTAGTACAGTGGTACTTTCTTAGGTCCCCTATGTTATTAAAAGTAGAGAGGAGTGGACATAATTACCCTACTCCTGTGTGGAGAAAGATAAAGTCATATTCAACTGTGTCAGACTCTCTTATGTAGGTATCTATACCTCTATTTAGCTGTACGTCTCTTTTCTCTCTCTGTAACTTAGTCTTAGGTCTCTTTGTTCATATCAATGTACATCACTATCATTATCAATTTGAGAATTAAAAAACAAAACAATTGAGAATTATATGCAAAATCACATGCTAGTTGTATGGAGAATACAAAGAAATATAAACTAGTTCCAGGCTTCCAGGAATTTATAATCTATTTGGATAGAGAATGAACAAAATAACTGTAGCACAGTGTAGTATGTATCATATGATGGGTACAATAATTTCTAAAGAAGTGGCAGTTTCTGTGTCTTTGTATAGATCTTTGTGAGACTGTTATACCATGTGTGTATCTTTACAGCTGAACAGCCCTCTCTCCCACTTATAAGTGATGAGGCTGTTGTTCCGAAAGCCTTGCCAAAATGCCAGGCCAAGCTGATAGTTGTATGCAGCCCAGAGAGAAGAGAGGAGATTATCCCCCTTCCTCCCTGCCCCCACCCTGGCCCATTAGGGGAGGGAAGTTTAGGGCTGTCCTGCCAACTTGACCCTGTTTACCGTAAGCCAACCTCCCAGATTCAGGCCAAGGCCTTTAACTTCATGTTACTACAGCAGCTATGGAGGTGAAGTATGACTTTAAGTTACTTTTGGGATATTACCCAGAGCAAATGGAGCCAAAACTGTTGATTCCAATGGATGAAAATTATCATGATCCCTCCTGACTTCCTAGATAACAATGAAATTTCCAAATGTTCCCACTTGAGTGACCACAGAGATGGTTCTGAAGGTTTCTCTGTATTCAAAGCACTGTCTAATCTCAGACTGTCATAGGCAAGGAAACTTGGAAAGCCAGCACTGTCTGGGCTGTAGCGGCCTTTGACTCACAAGGGTGCTGAGAGGACCCAGGTCCCCAGTTTCAGAACATTTGTGCTCCTCATCTACCCTCAATCATTCAAACGTCGACTCGCTCTCTGACAGTCGGCTGCTGGAATCCTCCCCAGATGTGGCCCTCTCTCAATGGTAAGGGGTGTGTCAATGATTCTAGCGCCCACAACTATGCTTAGTGAGTGTTTACGGGAAAGCAGTGTGTCCCTCTGGCTTACATGTTTTTATAAAGTAGATCTGTGAGAATCTTGTGGGGCCAGCCGTAAGGTCAGATTTTCTAAGCTCAGCTTTTAAGATCTAATGTTTCATTAGGTGGTGTAGTATATAAAGACATGAGCTTTGCAACCACACAGATCTGTGAAATCCCTATTCCACCCTTTACCAGCCATGTGACCTTGGGCAGGTTGCTTAATATTTCCTGAACCTAGTTTCCTAATCTGTGAAAATAAGGCTAATAATAGTATTTACCTCAGGGTTGTTATGAAGATTAATGAGATGATATTTCTAAAGGGCCATATAGTGCTTTGAAGGAAGTCATTAGTTCACCAGCCCTTCTCCTAATGTTGCTAGGCTAAAATATATGGAGCCTAAGATAGGCTGAACCTTTGTTTCTCTTGTCTTTCCAGGTCACTTCTTCAGATAGCCACCCAGCTCTGGAAAATGAGCATCCTCAAGGTAAGTTTACTGAAGAAAGGAAACTGGTATGAAAGCAATAGCCCAATCCTAACCTATCTTCAGCAATGCTTTTGAAGCTCTCCCAGGATTCCCCTGGGACAATCAAAGCTGGGCCAGATAATGTGCCAAACCACACACATCAGGAACAATAATTTAGCAAGATCACTTAGGAATAAATCTTGTGTAAGGTGAGGATGATTAATATCTTCAATTATCGAACTACTTGAGAGAAACTTTTGAGGTACAGGGAAAACTTCCATAGGCAACTCTGGACTGGCTAACCATGTCTCAGAAGTCTCTGGTATTTTCTGAGTACCCCAGAAATAATGCCACTAGGATTTTATCATCTAGTGAGCTTACTAAAACCACTGAATATACACAAGAAATTATAGAAAGGCCTTGAAAGCCCTTAGAACTAATCTAGAAATAGAGGCACTAAACTCTAAAATCCAGGGAACAGGAGAAGGCAATTCCAGCATCTGCCCAAATACCTGGTTAGAATGGAATGGCCCAACCCTAGGCCATCGAGAAAGAAGTAGAATTTATGGGCATCTCTGGTAAAGATTTTGCCCAAGAACATTCCTAGGCTTCCTGGGACATGTTTTTGGCATTAGGAGTACACACTTTCTAAAGGAAGATTGGCATAGATGTTAGCTCAGGGCCAATCTTCCTCCAGCAAAAAAGGGAAAGATTGGCAACAGACGTTAGCTCAGGCCAATCTTCCTCACACACAGACACACAAAAAAAGGAGTACACACTTTCTCAGAGGATTGAAATATGGGCTGAGATCCTAGGACATATTATTAAGGGTCTGTGAGTTCTCCACAAGAATTTTTAAATGTTCTCTCTTCATTTTGTTGGTATCCAAAAAAGTTAAGTCATATTTTGTGTTTTTTTTTTTTTTGTGAGGAAGATCAGCCCTGAGCTAACATCCATGCTAATCTTCCTCTTTTTGCTGAGGAAGACTGGCTCTGAGCTAACATCTATTGCCAATCCTCCTCCTTTTTCTCCCCAAAGCCCCAGTAGATAGTTGTATGTCATAGTTGCACATCCTGCTAGCTGCTGCATGTGGGACGCGGCCCTAGCATGGCCGAACAAGTGGTGCGTCGGTGCGCGCCCGGGATCTGAACCCGGGCCACCAGTAGCGGAGTGCGCGCACTTAACCACTAAGCCACGGGGCCGGCCCAATATAGTCATATTTTGAGTTATCTGAATGACTCCTCATAATTGAGTACTGCCACATGATGTCAGTGCTTATTTTATGTTTTTGAGTACATCTGCATTAGCCCCCCACCAAGGCAGGGGTCAAAAACTCAAATCGTCTACATGGATTAAGCAGTGACGTGGGCTGCGTATGACTGCGACAACCTGTAGATCTCGTCGCACAAAGAGGGGCAGCAACTATCCAGGTCTGGTCAATTGTTACTGTTCAGGAATTTAAGACCTAGTTTTGTCAGATCTGATTTTGAAAAGAAACTGAGAATTTGGATTTTTATGTAAATCTCCAGGTTTTTAAAATTTGGCAACTGATTTAAATTATTTTTAAAATACTTTGAAAGCCAAACCAAATATGTTTGTAGGTGTAGCCTAAAATGATAGTATTTAACTATCAATGTAGCATGTCTTAAACTGGTGTCAATAGACATGTTCTTGGGAGTCTGTGAGTTTTCAAATTTGAAAAACAATGGTGGGCTTCCAGTTAAAGATGGTGTATCGAATACATGCATCTACTTTCATTCCTTCACAAAAAGCCACTAAAACCACCATAAAGGAATTTTTTTTAAAGGTACAAACCCACCAGAATAGGGAGAACAAGAAAGGAGATGATAACAATGAATTTTTGGAAGCTGGAAAGCAGACAGAAGAGTGGTAAATGACTTAGCAGACCTGAGAAAACTGAATTATAAACTAGCAGTAGGGAAAGCAAAGAGGCAGTGAAGGTCTAAGAAGCAGTCAGATCCCAAGACTCCCTACCCCACTGAGTACAGCTGAGCAACCCCCCCTCCCAACTCTGTCAAAGACTAGAGGTCTGGAGAGGGGCTCAGGCCCAGTTGAGGGCTGAGGTGCTGTGTTAAAATCAGGAGCATGAAGTGAACTGTACTGGATGCAGAGACACCAGTCCTTTTCCCCCATTCAGTTTCCAGAGTGCTGACAGAGAAGACTTCACTCTCCAAGCACAAAATGGAATCAATAAATCCTCTCCAGAATCCCCTTGAGGGGAAAGCCCCCAAAATATAAGTATTGAGTGTTCCCCCTCTAACTGGCTTATAGTCAACAAGGCTCATTTACACACTTAGAGCTTCCAGTCAGCTTTAAAGACTCCACTCTTAAAATATGGTTTGAATTCTCCTTTAAACCAAGGATTACCAGACATCTAAAGAAAGCCTCTGACATGAAAAAAGCTGATCCAAACTGCCCCCCACAACATGAAAAGAAACAAACAGAAAAAAAACCAACAGAGGGGAAAAATCAGTGTATAGAGAAGAAAACTTTAGAAAATAACATTAATATATACTCAGATAAAAGAACATATTTCCACCACGGAACAAGTACAGGATACAATTTTTTTAAAAAAAGAATTTTCAGAAATTAAAAATATAATAGCAAAATTTGGGGGGCTGGCCCCACGCCCAAGTGGTTAAGTTCGGCGTGCTCTGCTTTGGCGGCCCAGGTTCAGTTCCCGGGTGTGGACCTACACCACTCAGCGGCAGCCATACTGTGGTGGCAACCCACATACAAAATAGAGGAAGACTGGCATGGATGTTAGCTCAGGGTGAATCTTCCTCAGCAAAAGGAAACAAAAAAACCAAAAAAATATATAATAGTAAAATTTTATTTTATTTTTTATTTATTTATTTTTTCCCCCAAAGCCCCAGTAGATAGTTGTATGTCATAGCTGCACATCCTTCTGGTTGCTGTATGTGGGACGCGGCCTCAGCATGGCCGGAGAAGTGGTGCGTCGGTGCGCACCCGGAATCCGAACCCGGGCCGCCAGCAGCAGAGCGCACGCACTTAACTGCTAAGCCACGGGGCCGGCCCTATAATAGTAAAATTTTAAAACTGAGTAGGATGTTTGGAAAGTCAAGTTGAGGAAATCTCCAAGAAAGTAGAATTAAACGTCAAAGAAGTGAAAAAAAAAATCAAAGAACTGGAAAATAGGAGAGAAAAAATATTTTTAAAACAACAACAATGAAAACCCACCAAAAAAAACAAAAGAAAAACAAAAACCTTAAAGAGTCAGTCTAGGAAGTCCAATATATAAATAATAAGAGTTCCAGAAAGAGAAAAATGATAACAACAGAGGGAAGGAAACAATCAAGGAAATAATTCAAGAACATTTCTGGAACTGAAGGACATTAGTTTTCGTATTGAAATGACTTATTGAATATTCAGCACAATGGATGAAATTGACCCACCCAAAGCACAATCATCAAGAGATTTCAGAACACTGGAAACATAGAAGATCTTGAGTTTCCAGAGAGAAAAACAAAAGTCACATACAAAGAATCAGAATTGCCTCAGACTCTCAACAACACCAGAAGCTAGAAGGCAATGGAGCAATGCCTTCAATGTTCTGCAGGAAAAGAAATTCCAACCTAGAATCTATATCCAGCCAAATTATAAATCAAAGATGAGGGTAAAATAAAGATATCTGCAGGCTGCAAGTTCTCCAAAAATTTACCTCCCATGTACCCTTTCTCAGGAAGCTACTGGAAGAACTGCTCCATGAAAACAAGGAAGTAATCAAAAAAGATGAAAACATGGGATACAGGACACAGGAGTGCCAATAGAGGGGAGATGGGAAAGGGGTCCCTTGGATGGTGATAAAGGAAGATCTCAGGATGACAGCAGTGCACAGTAGGCAAATCAGCCCAGATTTGAGCAGGTCAGAGGGCTCTGGAGAGGGGCCGGCCTGGTGGCACAGCGGTTAACTGGGCACGCTCTGCTGCTGTGGCCTGGGGTTCACAGGTTCGGATCCCGGGCACACACTGACACACCACTTGTCAGGCCATGCTATGGCGGCGTCCCATATAAAGTGGAGGAAGATGGGCACAGATGTTAGGCCAGGGCCAATCTTCCTCAGCAAAAAGAGGATTGGCATCAGATATTAGCTTAGGGCTGATCTTCCTCACCAAAACAACAGAAGGCTCTGGAGAGACTTCTTTGGGTAGTTTATAATTTTATTTATTTATTTATTTTTTCCCCCAAAGCCCCAGTAGATAGTTGTATGTCATAGCTGCATATCCTTCTAGTTGCTGTATGTGGGACGCGGCCTCAGCATGGCTGGAGAAGCGGTACGTCAGTGAGCACCCGGGATCCGAACCCGGGCCGCCAGCAGCGTAGCACGCGCACCCAACCGCTAAGCCACGGGGCCGGCCCGACTTTGGGTAGTTTAAATTGATAGACTATCTAATACTTCTGAACTTCTTGAAAGGAGATTTAAACAATTGGTAAAGAGTTCCAGGGTTGAATTAGTTATAAATACTATACATAGAAAATTAAGCAAACAAAAAGACAAGACAATTATTAACTCTAAGGAAAACAAAAGTTGTGAAAGAAAGAAAAAACATCTGAGTTTACTATTTGGCTTAGCTCTGAATAATGAATATTCAGTCAAAATTATTTAAATACTGATGTAACCAACATTATAGTTTAACTTCTGAAAGAATGAGGGGATGGGAGGTACATGTTTGTAATGGGGTCCTGGTAGGAAAGAGAACTAAAAATTCTCATCTTCCTTGGATGATAATAAATAATGCCTAAAAGTGAAAAAAGAAAAGTAGCAATGTAAGCATGTTATTTACAGACATAGAAATAAATACCAAAATAATCAGCTAAAAGAGGTCTCATCTCTGTGAAGGGGTAGTACAGGGAAGTGGGTGCCAGGGACTGCAGTTTTTCTTAACAAAATTTGTAGAACTGTTTGACTCTTTAAACTGTGTACCTTTGGTAAAAAATTAAAAATTACAAACAAACAACTGGCATAGGATTTTAAGAGCATGAACTTTGGAATCGGGTAGATCTACGTTTGAGTCTTTCTTGTCACTTACTAATGGTATGACCTTGAGCAATTTATTTCTCTGCTTTCCACCTGTTTTCTCATATGAAAAATGAGGACAACATTTGCCTTACAGATTTGTCGTAAGGATTAAATGATGTAATATTTTTAAGTACACATAGCATAGTATGTAGCACATTCAGGCTATTATTTTGGGGTTGCTTCTCCAGTTTAGAGCAAGCAATTACAATCAGAGGAATGGAAAGGTAAACACAGACAGGGTCTCCCATTTGCCTAGAGAAGATAGGATGATTTCTGATTCACAGAGTCATTCCAAGATGGACTCGCAGGGTGTTTTGGGCCAAGTTGATTGAGCACGGGGCTCCAACTTAGTGTTGATCTGAAATGGCCCAATTTGGACCATGCCTTTCTCATTTGCGGGTCTTAGAAGAATTTTAAGAAGCTTACTCGAATTTTAACAAGCTTAATTACATCTTAATTGAGAAGAAAGTGCACGTGAAAATGTGCTAAATATATGAAAGGGAAAACTTGAGTTAAAGATGAGAAAAAACTTTTAGACTAGAACAGATTAATGAAAGATTGACATGTTTTAGTCAGCTACCTTTTGCCTAAGGAGCCAATAGATATAGTCCTACCTGGAAATGGGCATTGGATGAAATGGTTGCTAAGGGGTTTATCCAGGTTTTTTGGGAACAATAGGAACAAAACAGATAGAATAGGGGGCCTTATAAAATATCATGCTCTAAATATTTGAGCAACTACAATACTGTTTTATTTCTGCTCCTTTTGACTGTGAGTTGTTGCATGGAAGGAAGCTACTAACTATCGCACCCTATGCAGAGACCCCAGAATCCAACAATAGCGTGTATACTTCCTTCATGAAGTCTCATCGCTGCTATGACCTGATTCCCACAAGCTCCAAATTGGTTGTATTTGATACTTCCCTGCAGGTAGGTGAAATCCTCTTTTCCCTTCCCCCTTCCTTGGAGACTCTGGTTCAATACCTCTTACCTTTCTCATCCCAAGGGTAAATATCCTTGTCCTTCTATGGGGTTAGTCTCATGTTTTCCCCAACATACCCAACCCCTGTTCTTTTAAAGTCCTGCCCCCTGTGAATTTCCCTTTGTGATTATTTCTCTGGTTACAGGTGAAGAAAGCTTTCTTTGCTTTGGTGACTAATGGTGTGCGAGCTGCCCCTTTGTGGGATAGTAAGAAGCAAAGTTTTGTGGGTAAGCAAAATTTTCTAGAACACAGTATTATTGGCATCTTGTGCTGGGCAGGGAAAGAAGCTTCTAAGCAGTGCTGAGGGCTCTTGTCTTGGCCTCCAGGCATGCTGACCATCACTGATTTCATCAATATCCTGCACCGCTACTATAAGTCAGCCTTGGTAAGGAACCTTAGCCCAATGACCAAACCACTTTCCCTGCCCAGAGTCCCTCATTCTCATTTCCTTTCTTCCAAGCAAACCACAAGGGGTTAATGAAGCAGGGAGATCAAGTCTCAAGTTCTCTTGCTTCTGCTTCCAGGTACAGATCTATGAGCTGGAAGAACACAAGATAGAAACTTGGAGAGGTGTGTAGAGAATTGGGGATTGTAAAAGGATAAAGGGATGGCGAGTTTCCTGGGAAACGGTTTTACATGGTGATATTTTGAACCCCCGTTTTCCCTTCAGAGGTGTATCTACAGGACTCCTTTAAACCACTTGTCTGCATTTCTCCTAATGCCAGGTGAGTTCCAGCTACCTATTTGTCCAGAAGGGGAAGAGCCTTGCCATCAGCATAGCTAAAACCCTAGACACCCAGAAATCCAGGGGCAGAAGAGAGAAAAGACACTCCTCCCACCCCCCTGCCCGTCCCCCGCCACCCCCCCCACACTCACTCACTCTCTTTAGGTCTGGCCTGAACACTGCTCCCCTTCCCCAACCACCAGTTTTCCCTGTTTATAAACATACCCTAAGGAGCTGTCTAACCACTCTCAGGCCCAGCACTGTGGAACTTATCATTATTCCCCACCTTCCCACAGCTTATTTGATGCCGTCTCTTCATTAATTCGAAACAAGATCCACAGGCTGCCAGTTATTGACCCGGAATCAGGCAACACCTTGTACATCCTCACCCACAAGCGCATCCTCAAGTTCCTCAAATTGTTTGTAAGTGCTCCTCAGCCCAGTTTTTACTTCTTATATACTGAGTTGGAAGGATGTCCAAGGGTGGTTTAGGGAACCTTGCAATTCAAGCTGACAGTTCTTTCCTCAGATCACTGAGTTCCCCAAGCCAGAGTTCATGTCCAAGTCTCTGGAAGAGCTGCAGATTGGCACCTATGCCAACATTGCCATGGTCCGCACTACCACCCCTGTCTATGTGGCTCTGGGCATCTTTGTACAGCACCGAGTCTCAGCCCTGCCAGTGGTGGATGAGAAAGGTGAGAGATTGGGCAGAAGGAGAGGGAGGGCTCCAGGGAAGCCAGGGTGGCTCTGGGAAAATCGCTTAGCACAGCCCGGAGTGTGATTCTATGGGCAGAGGGAGCCTTGGATGCCAGATCCTCCTTGCTGAGCTGCCTCTGTCCCCCTAGGGCGTGTGGTGGACATCTACTCCAAGTTTGATGTTATCGTGAGTGATTGTGGAGGGGCTGGGAGGTAGGGAAACGGGCGGGGTGTTGAATGTGGAAAGGGAGAAGAAGAGAGTCTCTTCTGGGACCTATGGGTTTTAGAAGCCTCCAAGCTTTCAAATCCTATTTGAAAAGGAATAGAATGAGCTGGGTGGAGCTTGTGGGCATGGCTGACAACTGCCCTAAATCCCGCTGGTGAGGTTGGAGGGGTGCTCAGGGTTTGGGGGCTGGCTTCTTTGCTTCCCTGCAAGCACCTTCCTCTCTCTCTCCAGAATCTGGCAGCAGAAAAGACCTACAACAACCTAGATGTGTCTGTGACCAAAGCCCTGCAACATCGATCGCATTACTTTGAGGGTGTCCTCAAGTGCTACCTGCATGAGACTCTGGAGACCATAATCAACAGGCTGGTGGAAGCAGAGGTAGGGGGCCAGCGACCCAAGAGGAGCTGGGGGGAGCAGCCTTGAGAGTGGGGTTCAGCAAGGAGGGTAGGGGCGAAAGGGCTCACCCTAACTGAGGCTGGCACTAAACATCCCTTTCTCCCTTGTTGCTCTATGCCAGGTTCACCGACTTGTAGTGGTGGATGAGAATGATGTGGTCAAGGGAATTGTATCACTGTCTGACATCCTGCAGGCCCTGGTGCTCACAGGCGGAGAGAAGCCCTGAGCTGGGGCAAGGGATCAGGCATCACCAGGGGCTGTGCCCCACTCACTGCCCGCCCGAGGCTCTGGGAGCCACAGATGAAACCTTGAGAGAATTGTGACTCTGTTCCCTGCTCTGCAGCCCCCTACCCTTCCACCTGGGAGCTGGGGAAGGTGTTGGGGGAGGAAGGAGAATGGATTTTTAGCTGTCCTTGTCCTCACACATACACTTGAGGAAAACTTTCAGCCTAGCCCATCCTAGCGTCTGTCCTCTTAGACATAGCCCCCTTTCTGGGTGAACTATGGGCTCTGTGCTCCTCAGGCAAATTCTGATCTCTAAGAGATCCCCAGACCTCACCCAGCCTTTGCCTGTATCTCTGCCCCTGACTCCACCCTAGATAATAGGACAACAAAACTCGAGATATTTTTATTCATCCTGTTTCATGCTGTATGAGGGGGCTGAGTCCATTTAGTAACATTTCTTCCCATAATGGGAGTGGGGTGGAGGGCCTTTGGGTCCCTGTGCTGTGTGCATATGAAGGGAGAAGGGGGTTAGGTGGAGGAGGAGGGCAGAGTGGTTAGCTGAGGTTATTGCTTCTCATGGCAAACCTAATTAAAATGACGGGAACCTCGTCATGGTATTGCAGTCTTTGATTTTTAGTTGATAGACACTACTGCTCCAGCCGTCCTAGTTCATACAGCTTTTTCAACTCATCATTAATAACAATAATAATAGCTCACACACACATATATACAGCTGTGTGCCAGGCATGACTCTCAGTGCTTTACATATATTAATTCACTTAATCCTCAAAACAATAGTAGATACTATTCCAGTTTTGCAGATTTAAAAAAAGCTGAGGCTTAGAGAAGCTAAATAACTAGTCCGAGGCCACACAGCTAGTAAAAAGTAGAGCCAGGATTTGAACCCAAACAGTCTGGCTCCAGAGCTCATCTCTTTACCATTCACTAGACTTACCGTCTTTCTAATTCTCCGTTCATAACTGTTCCCCACCCAATTCCCTGCAATCCTCCTTATTACCTCACTTTCCCCTCTACCTGGACCATAACTGGGACCCAAGAAAAATCCAGTAATAGTGTTAGGTCTCCAGAAAGTAGACAGACTGAGGGTCTCCTTTAGGCAGGGAGACCTGCCACTACCATCAACTTTTCTTAGGAAAGGTTGGACTCTGGAGTTTGCTCAGCTGGCACTGTCTTTGAGTCTACAAATCCTTTGCCTTTCTTCCAAGCTGAGAATGAGCTGGGAGGTGGGGGAGCAGCAGGACCATGGTCACCCCATCAGACCCTTTCCCTGTGCTGAAACCAAAACAGTAGTCGGCACCACAGACCATAAGGACTGCTAGTCGATGGGTATGAGCCAAATTCTGGGCACTGTCTCACCACTGCCTGGCGGGTATGGTACCATTTCCTGTCCAGGACCTGAAGCACTTGCAGAGTAACTCCTTGCCCCTCCCTGTACTGCCCCTAAGAACTCTAATGAAACCAGCCATACTGTACTTGTTCCTCCAAACCAGGCTTCCTACTGGAACGGGGAAAGGTATCAAGGCACTCATCAGAGCTCAGCTCTCAGTGCTGCCTCATGGCCTTGGAGAAGCCCCTGCTCATGCAGTCACCTCTTTTCCAGCTCTCACAGCACATTCCCAGACTTGAGGGAGGGAGGCTTCCAAGTTATTAGAATGAGGGTATGTTTATGTGTGTGTGGGTGGGTGCATGGTGGAAGGGACAGATGTCTCCTTATGTCACATTCCATCATGAAGAGGGTTTGTCTAGGGAGGAGGCAAAGGCTTTAAAAAGCCTTAGGACTCTGGTGTGACCTGGGTGGAAGGAAGCACCTTCAAGCAAAGAGCCGTCAGTGCAGCTGGTAGGTGTATGGATTCAAGGGGGGTCAAGTGGATGGGATAGGGGACGTTTGGGTTCTCTCGAATGGCCCATGTTAGGGAGCAGGAGGCCTGGGTTTTGTTGTGGTTCTCAGTAAGTCAGTCTTTGTGCCACAACAACCCTCCTGGCCCCATCCCCTTAAAAGGAAATGTCTGTACCCAAAGGGCTGCATGTACTTTAGTGAGAAACAAATTAAGATCTCTTGCTTTTCCCATTTCTCCCTAAAACCCAACCAATCAGTCTCAGAGTCTGAGGATGGAGCAGAAGACAAGGGACAAAATTTGGGAGGCTTCTAGTCTTACTTATTCCTCTCAGGAGAGGCAAATTATCCCTTCTTCCTCAGAAACTATCACCATACACACTCCTTCCCCCACCTCCCCTCACTTCTCCCCTCCACTGGAGCTGCTGCCATGGTTGCCAGGCATGGTTGCTAAGTCTGCATGGAAGGGTTGGCGTGGGCTGTGCTGCCACTAACATTACCATGGTGAATCATGGGACACCTGGTATAGGCTTGGGGGGAGGGATCATGTGGATGTAAGCAACAACCCCCCAGGACAGAATGAGCCTAGAAGGTGAGCATCTTGAGCACCACTTCAGGTGGGGGCTGAGTGAGCCAGGCATTGTGATAGTGAGGACAGCGAGCTCTGCACTGGGAAATGGGGGCCACTTTTATCATTTCAGTTGCTAGGGGATTGGTTTTGCCAAGGGAGCACACCATTCCTTCTCCATCCCCTCTGAAAGGGTGCAAGTGCATAGCAGAGCTGTGTGGGCACAAAACAATATGACCCCAAAATCCTGGCTTCTGGATTGTTGGGGGGAGAGGGCTCCATGGGTGGTCAAGGACAAACATCTTAGAATGCAAGTGTGGGGTGGCTTTGATGGCCAAGACAGGATCCTGTGTCCCGCTGTACCAGCAGCCCTGGGCTGCAACACTGAGAGGGTAAGAAGTTGAGGGTATAGGGGTCACCGTTGTTGAGGTTGAGGGAGGCAGCTCTCCCCCAGAGTCACACAAAAGCTGCGTGAAAGCCACCGCCTCCTCCCTCCACCGCATTCAAGCTGGTTACTCATCTCTCTGCACCCGAATGCCACTGCCGCTAAAAATAGCCCCCCACTCTGGGCCAGCCCCTCCTGCACCCCAACCCCATGGAAACCAGCAGAGAGTGGCAGGCAGAGACCTTGAGTTCCATTCTCATCACCTCCCTGTCCGGGAAACCGAAGTCCGGGGCAGGAAGTCAGAGGCAGAACGCTGGTGGTCAGTCACCCTGACAGGCAAGAGAGTGAAGGGTTAAAACGGCAGGAAGGTTGAAGAAATTAGGACGGGGATGGGGGCACTATCAGCTTGGCAGGAATAAGAAGTCCCCTGCCCACTCGTGCAGGTCCCATCAGGCTTGGGGTACAAGAGCAGTGGGAAGGGGCCCCCAATCCCAGGCCCCAGGGGGCGGCCGTGCACACGGGGGAGGTAGCAGCGCTGAGCCGTCTGCGCCGTGTCACATGCGCGCGCGCACACACACAGACAGGCACACACGTGTGCCTGGGTATATATAG